GGGGCCAGGCGGGGTGGGTGGGCAGGGGCACTGAGGCTTACGTTTGTTAGGTAGATTGTTGAAAGCATAGGAAACATTTGATGGATGTTGCGGGACAGAGTGAAGGCTGACAAATGGAACGCTGAAGCCAAGGTGACCTAACCGTGGACTCATGCCACCAGTGACATTGGGGCCACTGTGCAGAGAGCAGGCAGGAGGGCCCAGGGACCACCTTGAGGGAGTGAGGACACAGATGTGGACCGACCAGAGACGTTGGGGGCAAGGGGCCTTGTGACTCGGGGACTTAGCAGTGTGGGGAGGGGTGAAGGCGGAGCCTCACTTGAGTGCGGGAGGGTCGGGTCAGGTGAGGGAGGCATCCGGTGGCCCCACGGCCTGAGACCACCTTCACTTTCTTGCAGATTAAGGCCTCTGGTGTGTACACAGCCAGCCAAGAAGGCAGCCGTCAGCCAGGTGTGTTGTTGGGGCTGTGAGCGAAGTGCCTGGTCACAGGAGCAGGAGGGGATGCAGCGCTGGGGGTGGCCGTCTCGAGTGTCGGTGCTGGGGCCCAGGGGCCGGCGTGGCCTGAGAGAGGCCCCTCAGGACTGTCTCCCTAACCCCAGGCCATTCCCAGGTTCTAACTCCAAGGGGCTTGAGAGCCCCTGCAGGAGGCCGAGGCCCCTGACGGGCCCTGGCCTTCCCACTCCTGCCCGTACACAGTGGAGGGCAGTGAAGTGCACACAAGCTGCCTAGGGATGAATGAGCACAGGGTGGGCAGGGGCTGCTGGGCTCCCGAGCTGGGGGTCGCCCGCCTGGTGGCCGCCCCAGAGCGCCTTCTCCCACTCTCAGGCCGTGCTCCCGAGCCCCCCCGCCCTCGGCGCTGAGCCTGCGAGGCCGGCCATCGTGGTGGAGAGCGGGCCTGTGTCCTACCACCCTGATGAGGACGCGGACGAGGATGATGCCGAGGAGGAGGGGGACGAGCCTTGCGTGAGCGCCCTGCGGCTGATGGGCGGCAACGGTGGGTGGGCCGGGGCCGGGGGCTGCAGGAGCAGAGCGCACTGCCCTGTTGTCCCTGAACTCAGCCTGAGTGGTGTGAGGCGGGCCCCAGGGGTGGGAGGGAGGGAGGGAGGAAGCGAGCAGGTGACGGAGGGCCCTTTCTGCTCTGTGACCGTCGCGCATGCTCTGCAGATTACGGCTGTGACGGTGACGACGATGAAGGCTACTGAGGGGCCCGTGCAGTGGGGCCACGCCCACAGGACATCCGACGGGGCAGCCCCAGCTCCTGGGCAGGGTGGGCAAGAGACTCGGTGCCGAGAGGGGCGTCCACCACCCACCGCCTGTGCGGCCTCATGGGACTTAGCCATCAGGATCGTGTCTGGAGCTATGTCAAAAGCGTTTCACCCAGCAGGGAAGCTGGACCGGTGTCTGTGTGTCTGCTCATGCGTCCCAGCTGGTGCGCCTGGGCCCCGGCCTCAGCTTTGCCCTCACTGACCACCACCCTCAGAGCCCAAGCATGGGTCACTGCTGTCCCAGAGTGCAGCACGGTGGCCTTGGCCCAGCCCCATGCCCCTGCACTCCTCCCCAGCCTGTCCCTCAGCCCCACGACATGCCCAGTGGAGGGTGTGCTGCGCATTGCCACCTCCTCGTCAGCTCCCAGGAAGCTGGCACTCAGCGTCCATTAAGCAAGGTGGTGGGAGTCGGGGTCTTGGGGGTGGGCATTTAGTGACCACTTGGCCCTTTGCGGCACGTTTTTGGGGCCAGGTGGTTCCTGGACCAGAACCTTGGGGCCCCAAAAGGAGGCTGCAGCCCTTCAGCAGGCCCCTCGGCCCCGAGTGGGGCACCACCCCTGCTGCACCAGGGCCCACTTGCCTGTGTGCCCTAGCACGGGGCCCAGCCTGCGTCTGCTCCGGGGCGGAGGCGCTTCTGGCGGCTGCCCCTCCCAGGGCGCTGGAGATGGATGCTGAGGGCCGGCCGTGCCCCCTTGGCCACCTGGCTCCTGTGCCTGCATCCGTGGTTTCATTGAGCCAGGCTGGCCTGTGGTTTTGCTGGGGCCATGTCAGGAGGTGGCTGCCTCGCCTCACGCTGTAGATTGGGGCTCCCGTTGGGTGCTCCTGGGCTTTCTGTCAGGGTGCACACTTGGGGCTTGGGGACGCCCTGCAAACCTCCATGGCCCAGTGGTGGCCCTTCTATAGGGAGGCCTCTGCCTGGTGTCGGACAGCTGCTGTCCCTAGTCCCACCTAGCCCAGGTGCAGGCTGGGACTTGACCCTGTGTCTCAAGCACAGCTCTGGGCTGCTGTCTGCAGGAGTGTCCTGGGATTCCTGTGTAAGTGAGGGATGTGCCTGAGTGGGGAGGGTGCCCCCAGACCAAGGCAGCCTGAGTGAGGGGAAGGGTGCCCTCAAACCAAGGCAGCCTGAGTGGGGAGGGGGGTGCCTGCTGTGTCCTGGGACACAAGCCAGCAGGGTAACCGGAAGATCCCTGACAAGGAGGTGACGGCCAGATGACAAGGACGGGTGGCCATGCAGTGGTGAAGGCAGTGGAGGGGTAGAGGCCTTATGGAAGGGCAGAGCGGCTCACCAGGCCCACAGTGATGGGGTTAGGGGCTCAGGGTGAAGGTGGGAATGCGTGGGTTGGGGCGGAACTCTGTTGTGTGGGATGTGGTGAGTGCAGGAAGGACCAGAATCGAGGACCCTCCTAGGGCCGTCCCTTGAGCAGGTGGGGCAATGAGGGGCAGCAGGTGACTGCCAGGCTTGCTGGCCCTTCAGGCGGAGGTGAGGAAACCAGGCTGTGCGGGGTGGGCATGGGAGGGGAGTCAGAAACAGCTGTCATGACAGGTGTCAGGAGGGTAAGTGCAGGGAGTGGGGGGGGTCGGGACAGGTTCAGGAAGCAGGCCATGTGGGGTGGGACGTGGGTGCTTTGGGGAGTCCTAGAAATGCTGGCTGTCAGGACAGGGGACACAATGATCTTATCCCCATGCGTGGGTTCTGGATGGATGGGTGAGGTGGGAAGGGCTCGGGGAGAACAGAGGTCTGAACCCCGAGGCTTGTAGGAATGCATGAGGCTCCGGGGGACACATAGGTCTCCGTCCAGTGCACAGGTGGGTTTGGGGCCACATTTGTGTGACCTTTCTGTGAGGAGGATGGCTACAGCGTGCGGTGGGCCTGACCAGCTGTGACCACTGGGTCAGGGTATGCCCCACTGAGACCCGCTCGGAGCCGGCAAGCCAGGGCACCGCCCCGTTGCTTCTGCACCTTGCTGTGAACTTGGCCTCTTCTGGGCAGCCAGTCCTGGACCAGAAGGAGAGCCCTTAGCCCTTCAGCCACATCCCCACAGCTGGTAGAGTCCTGAGCAGAAAGGAGTGCCCTCCCAGTCTCTGCCCACGTGGGGTGGAGGTCACTGGGCTAGGGTGCTGGCTCTCATCTCTGGGGCACATGCCAGCAATCTGGAGAAGGTGGGCATGGGCCCTGCCTCTAGTGCTGCAAGGCTGCAGACAGGCTGGCTGCCCGAGGGGCCTTGGTCACAGCCAGTGACCCTGGGGGCATCCAGTTTTGTCTGGGCATGAGTCCACCTTCAGAGGGGACTCGACAGGGATGGGCCATCCTACCCAGGTGAGGGGCTGGTTCTGGGGGAAATGGCCTTGCTGGGCCCCAAGACAGGGCAGAGGGCCTGCTGAAGGACGTGGGTGCTGGCTTCAGGCACGTTGTCAGTGCTCAGTGGGAGGCTGGACCAGACCAGCGTTATTGGTGCATCAGAGTTGGGCCACGGGCCTTTGTGAAGGGCCATTTCCCTTTGGAACCTGAAATCTGCCCCTTGGTCATGGGGTGAGCAGGCCCTGTCCCTAGGGGTACCTACCTGCCTAGTCCACCAGGCCTGACGTCACTGCCCACCCCAGCCAGCATGTGGACCACATGGCCCCTCCCCACTCTCACAGGCCTTGACCCCTTCCGCCCTCTACCTACGGCCTGGGCCAGGTGTGGGGACACCCTGTGGAAGGTAGGTGGGCTTTGCCCCATAGGTACAAGCCCAGCAGCTTCCCCTCCCCATGGGTGGGGGAAGAAGGGGAGGGGGAGCTAGTACCTGTGTGTGCACCCCAACACATGCAGTGCGGGGTGTCCCTGGCTGCCTTGTGTGGACCCATCACTAAGGGTGAGCTCACATCTGGATCCTGTGCAGAATGTGAAGTGGGGAGCCCGGGCCAGGTGCCCCTGGGGAGGGCCCAGTGACGTGGCCCACCTAGTGTGTGGGGCTGTCCTTCTGGGGCCCCCTCAGCCTATCCTGGAGCCCTGTACTGGCTGGGGGCCCCACAGGGCACAGTCCACAGGGACAGGCTGGAATGAGGTCAGGGGCCTGCCTCTGACTCGGGTGAACGCCCTCCCCACCGGCTGTCACCGACGGTCACTCCTACCCCTGCCCTGCTGCCACCTAGGGCCAGACGCCTGCAGCCCTGGCCACTCAACAGCTCTGTGGCACTGGCCTGGTCCGTGATCCTCCAGTGCTGGCTGCCCCTGCGTCTCTCCCCATCCCTGCCGCCTCACGCCACCCGCAGTGGGTTCTGGATGGGACCACCTGAGGGCAGGTTGCCCCTGTTGGGAGCAAGGACAGGTGCTGGACAGTCCTGGGGCCCAAGATCTGCTGCACTCCACAGAGTCGGCTTCTCCAGCCCAAACCTGGCCCACGGCTCTGGGGCTGCACCACCCCCACTGGCAATGCCAGAAATGCAGGGCTCTTCAGCGCCACACTGTCACGAGTCCCCAAACGATGCCACCCTTGGCCTTCTCAACATGTTCAGGCCTGTGGGGCAGCAACACTTGGCCGCCCTCCTCCCCCGAAGTCCCTGCGTCCTCCCGGGCAGGTCGGGGGGATGTTCGCAAGGGTTCTTGGTGCAAGTTAGGATCTGAGCTCTGGGGTCCATGTGTGCACTGAGCAGCTCAGGATGTTGGAGGCCTCCAACTTGGTCCCCACAGGACCCACTCGCAGGAGGCGAGGTGCATCAGCAGCTGCGACCAGTGACGCACACCCAGGCCACTCTGGCTGCCCCCGCAGGGATCACCTGCAGGTGGCAGGACTTGGGGCAAGTGGGTGCGTCCCATCGCCTCCCCACCGCCCGGCCTTCACCCGGCGGGTGTGGGCTGCCATTGGCTAGGGCCACCCGTGACCTGAGACAGCTCCCTGTTGGGGAGCCAGGGGCGCAGAGTGGCTTTCGGGCCCAATACCTCGTGAGGCCCTCGTGGCCCCGGATTGGAACTGCACGGACCCGCAGGGTGAGCGCTGGCCTCGTCTGGATCCTTCCCTGTGGTCCTGGGGGTCTGCGCCGGCGCCGGTCTTTCTGCTCGAGGAGGCCGTGAACTTAGGACCAAGGCGGCCAAATAGGGAGGTTGGGGCGGGAACTGGCGCCCCGCGCCCCGCACAAGCATCCCAGCTCCACCACCACCATCCCTCTCGGGGTCTGAGGACTGCTGTGCTTGCAAGGCCGTGGGGACTGGCACCAGGCCCTCACGGCTGCAGGAAGGACGACGGGTAGGGCCAGAGCCCCGTCTGGACGCCCTGCATCCCTCCTCCCTGCCTGGCACCTTGGTCCTGCATCTGCTGAGCACGCCTCCCGCCCCGGCCCCCACCGCCCAGCATCTTCTCCCCTGCACGCCCTGGTCCTGCCCTGACACTCCCGCCACAAGACCCCGCAGTGGGTGCCCCGCCATGCATGCTGCTAGCCTGTGGCAGCTCAGACAAAAGCCCTCAGAGGTCAGGACCCCGCTGGGCTTCCAGCTGCGCCTGTGACCTGAGGGACCCCCATCCGTGACCCCGACGTGGACTGGGGCCAGCAGGGGTGCTCCAGGACTGGCTGCGGGCCCTTCCCATCTCCACCCGAGCCTTGGTGCGCCTGCTCTGGGGCCCTCACCCTCCCGGCCCCCAAGCTGTTTGCACCCACAGGGACCCACTGCTTCAGCAGGACACGGGCCCCTTGGTGGAAGCTGAGAGGGCTCAGGCTCCCAGGGCAGGTGTCTCCCCATGGCGGGGGCGTTTCCAGGAGCGGCTCCTGACTGCGCCGGGAGGGGGCCTTCCCAGTAGCCCTGTGGAAGGGACTCTGCCTCCCCTCCACCCCCACGGTCCTCGCCCTTCCTGCTGCTGTGTGCAGGGCCCGACGGACCAGCCTTGCTGAGGGGCCACCCGCGCCTACGTGCCTGCAGGGCTGGCCGGTCCCTGGAGAGGCCTGGGCCTGGGCCAGACTGG